AGGACACGTTGGCCCGGCTTGGCGCTGGCGGCTGCAAACAGTCCCGAGACGGCGGCTAACTCATGGCTCCAGCTGTACCGGTGGCGACCCCGCGAACAGTGCGGCCTGGACCTGCTTTCCGCTATCCGAGCGTGCCCTGATGCGCGTGCGCGGCCCGGACGCAGCGCCCTTCTTGCTGGGGCTATTGACTAATGAGCTTCCGCTTCCGGGTCCCGCGGCGGGTGAGGCACCGCCTTCTACGCGCGCGGGCTATGCCCACTTCCTGAACGTGCAAGGCCGGACACTCTATGACGTCATTTTGTACCGGTGAGTAAGGGTAGGGGAGGGCGGGGTTGTCCCGGGGGGAGGAGCTAGAAGCTACAAGGAAGGGCAGGGAAAACCAAGGGGAGGGGCTAGGCGCCGGGGAACTATTCAGGTGGCTGGTACCCAGGACAAGGCCTGGGCATCTACGGGAATGCGCCAGTGACTGACACAAAAAAGGGTACCGGGGGAGGGGGGATACTCATGATCTGACCTTCAATAGCCTTTAGAGTGATAACCACAGAGGGCGCCCGGGAATTGGTCAGGTTGGTCACCTAGGAGTGTTATAGTCTACAAAGTGAGAAATAAGACTTCCAGACAGCCAAATTTATTGGAGTTTACTGATTAAGCCTGGGGAGAACACCCACGGGACATGGGAGATGGGTACTCACTGAATGCACCCAGGGACTGGGCTAGACATCCAGGGCAGGGCATCTGGAAGTAAACATGCAGGGATGGGCCAGCAACTTGCACCCAGGGGAGGGCCTGGGTGCCCACTAGCTCAGAGTACAGACTGCTAGTACCTGTCCCCCTGATGTGGCACCTCACCAGTGGGGGCTCCCTCTCAACCCTGTTTGGTTGCACCTCATTCACTGCATGCTAAGGGAGTCAGTGACCCCCTCAGCCCAAGTGCAGGGGCCTACCTCCTGTGTGCACAGTCGTGTTTCTGAGTGACAGCTTGTGTCCCAAGTTCTTTTTTGTTTGTTTGTTTTTAGAGGTTTTTGCTATAGGGTGCATATGCTCGCTAGAAAGACAGAGACAGAGAGACAGAAAGTGAGAAATCACCCCCCAGGGGAGATGGCCACACTGCAATCCCTTCTCTTTCATTCTCCTCTCGGGATCTTGGGCATGCACGCACACGCGCCCAGTGTGAGTTTAAGCCACCAGGTCTGGGACTTGAACCGCCGTTGGCTACATGGGAGTCCAGCGACATGGCCATTATGCCAACTGCTGGTCCCTCCCAAGTTCTTTTGAGTTCTCTACTGTACACTGTATTTCCCTAATTCTCCTCCCAGATCTTCCCATATCTGGTTATAGTTCCAAGTTGACATTACCATGAGTGTCAGTAATGTTCTCTGGCTAAGTTGCATCAGGGGCTTGATTGTTTATGGTGCTGGATATTCACTTGCCCTCCTTGGTATCTGCATCCCTGAAACTTTCACATAATCTTTAGGTAGGCTTTTCTTGGAGCTCTCCTTCAGTGGTCTGGACCCAGCCCCCCTTGGCCTGCAGCCTGGTTCTTCTCTATAACTCCTGTTCTGTACTGTCATAGATCCATTTCCTGCATTCTTTGTCATCTTCCTCAGTTGACTGTAGTGCTTTAGTATCTTCCTGTAATAATAACATGAGGTGGATTTTTGGACTTGTATATCTGCAAGTGGCTTTACTTGATAGCTTGGCTAAGTATAAAATTCTAGGTTGAAAATTGTCTTCTGGAATTTTGTAGACATGGCTTCATTGTCTTCTTGCTGCCACCATTTCTGCGGAGAGGTCTGGTTCCATTCTTATTTGCAGTCCTTTGTATGTGAACTCCTTTCTGTGGACATTTTGTGAGGTTTTTCTTTTATTTCTGATGTCTTGAAACATCTGGATGTATCATATTTTGGACTTTTTAAGTATCATATTGCTGGGCACTTAGTGGGTTCTTTGAATCTAAAACAGGAATCTGCAAGTTATAGCCCTTGGGCCAGATCCAATCTATCAATTGTTTTTGTTAATAAAGCTCTCTTGGAACACTTCCATTCCCATTTGTTTCCATATGATCTGGGGTTGTTTTGCCATCCAGCAGCAGATTGTGATAGAGACAGTGTGGCTCTGAAGCGTAAATTATTTGCTGACCTTTTACAAAAAAACATGTGTTGACTCTCCCTCTAGAGGCTTGAATCTTTATGCCTTCCATCTCAGAGATGCCGTCATCATTATCTACCTTACATATTTATTACCATTTCTCTAGATGCCTTATTTTCTTCATCATACCTCCTTTCCTTTCCTTTCCTTTCCTTTCCTTTCCTTTTCCTTTTCTTTTCCTTTTCTTTTCCTTTTCTTTTCCTTTCTTTTCTTTTAAGGTTTTTGCCATAGGGTGCATGCGCTTGCTGAAGAGGGGAAAGAAAGAGGGAAAATGAGAAATCACCCAATCAGGGGAGATGGCTGCGTTGCATGGCATGCCCTTCTCCTCCATTCTCTTCTTGGGATTTTGGGCATGCACACCCACATGCCCAGAGTTACTTTCAAGCCACCAGTTCTAGGAATCAAATCACAGTTGACCATGTAGGGATCCATGTCCAACACCTTAAGAATCATGCCACCTGCTGCCCCATCTTAGCTTTTTAAAAATTCTTTCCTGGGCCTGCAAGTGGCATGATGGTTAAGAGCACTAGACTCTCACATGGCTGACCATGGTTCAAGACCCAGACCGGGTGGCTTGTTTTTTCACTTTCCCTCTCTGTCTCTCTCTCTTACTCTGTCCCTCTCTGGTCAAATTAAAATAAATAAATAAATAAAATGTTAAGTAAAATAATTTAAAAAACATCCTTTCCTAGAGGGTGTATGCATTCACTGGAAAAAGAGGAAAAATGAGAATGCACTCCCTCATGCTGCAGTCTCTTCTCTTCTCTTTTTGGGATTTTGGACATGTGTACACATACATCAGGCATGTTTTTCAAGTGAAAAGAGTTGGAACTTAGGCCATAGAGTTAGCCATGTGAGATCCAGCTCCTTTAACCACCACACAACCAGCTAGCCCAATTTCTTTCTTTCTTTTTTTTTTTTTTGAGAGGTTTTTGCTATGGGGTGCGTGCACTCGCCAGAAAGACAGAGAGAGATAGAGAGACAGAAAGTGAGAAATCACCCCCCAGGGGGGATGGCCACGCCACAATCCCTTCTCCTCCATTCTCCTCTTGGGATCTTGGGCACGCACACACATGCGCCCGGCGTGAGTTTAAGCCACCAGGTCCGGGACGCAAACAGCAGTTGGCTACATGGGAGTTCAGCAACATAGCCATTACGCTAACTGCTGGTCCCAGATTTAATTCAGTCTTATGCCAGGAATACCACCAAGGGGAGTGGTGGAGTCAGGGCCATACACTGTGGAGTTCGAGATTGTTATAATGTGTGTGAAACTCTGTCTTCAATTCTGTTAGAGTTCATGATGCCATAAGATACGGATCTTGAACCCCTCTCAGGTTTAGAGGTGATTGCAGACTTTGTCCAGATTTTATCAGTTCCTAGCTCTTCCCTATAGCATTGCAGGTGGGAGTAGGCTGAGCTTGTCCATGGTCAGGACAGCCTCAATATTAGCAGTGCCACAGCTGAGAAAGCTGCCCTCACCATTCCTCAAGTCTAATGGCCTGTCTAGAGGTGCAGCTGGGCCTCCTTTTTCTCTGCATCGGCAGGGCTAGAACCTAGGGGTAACTTCCCAGCTTGGTCAGTCCTAAGGGGCTGCCTGGTAGACAATCACAGTCATGGTCAACTGGAAAGTCCCCTAGACCTGAGAACTTTAAATACCTGAAACTGCCCTGAGGGTGAGTTGGGTCGGGGGCTGTGACAGTTTGGGTGGGTGGGTTCCCCTGCCAGGGGAGGCAGATAAGCCGCCCCCACAACCTCGGAGTGTATGGCCTTCAGAGCTCAGGGTGCTCTGGTCTTCTCTGGGTCGTGCCCTGAACCCCCACAGATCTATCCTTACATATACCCCAGCTCTGCCTTGCCTTGCTGCCCCCACCCTTGCTCTCAGCTCCTGCTCTTGCTATTGAGGCCAGAACAGCAGCACTTCTACTTGCCAGAGGCCAGGAGCATCCCACCCTCAAGACATGATGACCAAAAATGTCTCCACACATGGTTGAGTATCCCCTCAGGGACAGGACCACCAGATAAAACACAGGATTCCCTTTTCATCTGAATTGCAGATCAACAATGGACAATTTTTTATTATATCCTAAATATTACACAGGACATACGTACACTAGCAAATCATCTGTTGCTTATCTGAGACTTACCAGATGTTCAGTACTTACATTTGTTTGCAGCCTCTCCCTGCTCCTGTCCTCCCAGCTCACAGGCCTCACTCCTGTCAGAACTCTGTCTGCTCTGCCTGGCCTTATCTCACTTCCTCCTTCCAGCAGCTGTATCAGCTTCACCCAGGTGCCCATGCAAGTTCGAGGTTCCCTCCCCTGCTTTCGTGGCTTTATCCACCTCAGCCAGTCCTAGAGCCTCATTCCTACCCATTCAGCCAACTTTACATTTGGTCCACCTTGACTTAGTGGCTACCTTTCAGATGTTTCCTAAGCCTCTGCTGACCTAGGGAAGATTTTAAAAATAAAAATATGCATGAAATTAGCCTGGGCCTAGTAGTTAATGGAGCCAGATCTCACAATGCTGACTGTGGCTTGAATCTTGGCACTATGGGCTTGAAAAATACACTGGACTTAGGACCAGCAGATGGCGTAATGGTAATGTCATTGAACTCCCATGTAGTTGACCACAGTTCAAGTCCCAGACCCAGTAGCTTAAACTCATGCCAGGTGCTTGTGTGTACGCATGCCCAAAATCCTGAGAGGAGAATGGAGGAGAAGGGATTGCAGTGTGGCCATCCCCCCAGGGGGTGATTTCTTGCTGTCTGTCTCTGTCTCTTTCTGTCTTTCTGGTGAGCACACACACCCTATAGCAAAAATCAATCTCTAATAATAATAATAATAATAATAATAATAATAATAAAACACTGGGCTTATGTGCATGCGTGCCCAAAATCCTGACAGGATAGAGAAGGGGATGTGACATACCACACCCCACTGGGGGGTTTCTTTCTCCATTTCTCTCTTTTAGTAGTACACACATCGTTTCACAAAGAAAATATGTACATATGTGGTTTAAAAGACCCAATGATGGGTCCAGCCAGTGGTTAAGGTGGCTGAATCTTACATGGCCAACCATGTGGGTCAAGCCCCAGGCCTGGGGGCTTGGGAAG